GGAGCGGGCTGAATGGCCTCCTGTCTCAGTGTAACAGGCTGGAGGAAGAGGAGGAGGGGCTGAATGGCCTACGGTTCCCGGATTGAAAGTGAGCTGTTTCTCTGTCTCCCTTCCACCCCACCTTTTCCAGGTGAGGACACCCCCACCCCGGGCACTGACGCGGCAGGCCGCGGTTGGCAGAGGGTCGCGCTCCCGGGGACACCCCCCGACGAGGAGGAGGAGGACAGCGAGAGGGAGCTCTCCGACACCAGCTCGGCCGGGAATGCCGCGGAGGATCCGGCCGATTTCCTGGCACAGCCCGCCCTCCTGGGGAGGGGCGGGGCGGGGAGCCCGGGCCGTGCCCCCTGCCCCCGGAGCGAGGACGTTACCGCCGAGGCCTGGCGAGCCCACCGCAAGCATGTCTTCGTTCTGAGTGAGGCAGGAAAGCCTATCTACTCCCGCTACGGCAATGAGGAGGCTCTCTCCTCCACCATGGGGGTCATGATGGCCCTGGTCTCGTTTGTACAGGACGGGGATAACACCATTCGCTCCATCCAGTCAGGTAGGAGAGGCTCTGTGCCAATGGGAACAGGCCACACACTCTGGGCAGCGCACTCTGGGCCACAATAGGGCGGTATACAGAGAATAACAGATACCCCGGGAGGGAGTCACAGACTGGAACCTAACCGAGGGGTTCAAGGTGGTTTATATACAGAATAACAGATACCCCGGGAGGGAGTTACAGACTGCAATCTAATCGATGGGGTTTGGGAATGTTTCTGTATAATGTTTGCTGTGGGTCGAGGACAATTTTTCAGCCACCACCACATCTACCACGCCCCCCCCCCCGCCCCCCGCCACTCGCCCTGTGCCGACTCTTGTATGGGAGTGTCTAGGACCAGAGGGGACATCATCTCAGAGTAAGGGGGTGGGGGGACACACCCATTGAAGACAGAGATGGGGAGGAATTTCTTCCCTCCGAGGGGCGTGAGTCTGTGGAATTCTTTACCGCAGAGGGCTGTCGGGGCTGGGTCGCTCGAGGCTGAGATTTTTAATCAGGAAGGGGGATCGAGGGGTTATATTCGAGCCTCTCTCTATCCCGTGCTGGGAAGAGAGAGAGGGCCAGGATTTAACGACGATGTCCCCTGAGCAGCCATGTGCGACAGTTTCGGTGTGTCTGTGACTGTACTGTGTGATCAGATAAACTTGACCACTTCCTCTAACGGCCTGGACACCTCCACGCTATCGAACCGCCCAGAGATTTCAGCTCTGGACATCACAAGGCTATTGCGACAGTCTTTGGAGGGAGGGAGGGTGGGGACAGGTCAAGAGGACATGTTCCCATTCCGTTTGGGAGCCGGCTCGGGGTGGTCAGGGGTTTGCAGGGGAGCTCAGACAGATACCTGGGTAATGCTGGCTCCAATCTGGCAAGGGGTTTCCAGCAGGAGAGCTCCAAAGCTGCCCTGCAGCCTGACTCAGCAACTACCATCAGCTAAAGCCCTGAGGCCACTGTGTGATTTGAGGGTTGATGTCAAGGGAGGAAATGTGTCAGCCGATTTGCAAACGGTTCGCGCAAGCCAGGGCTGAGGTGCTGACTGGTGTTAAATATCAGCAGTGAGAGGGTGAAATGGGGATCTCGCATTAAAACGGCTCATCCTGAAACACAGCACTTTCGACGGCGCCGACCTTCCGGCGGCGCGCCCCGCTCCCCTCGGCGCCGACCTTCCGGCGGCGCCCCCTACTCCCCGTGTCTGTCGAACCTGGTAGTGACGTCTCTCCCTCCCCCTCTGCCTTTCAGACGACTACAAGGTGGTGTTTAGCCAGCACGGCCCCCTGGTGCTGGTGTCGGTATCCCGAAGCCACCAGTCACCAGCGCAGTTGCGCCGGGAGCTGTGCTACGTCTACTACCAGATCATCAGCCTGCTGACCCAGGCCACCGTCACCCGCATCTTCCAGCACAAGAAGAACTACGACCTCCGGCGCCTGTTGGCCGGCTCCGAGCGCATCCTGGACAACCTGCTGAGGCGCCTGGACACGGACCCCGGCTTCCTGCTCGGCGCCGTGCAGTGCCTCCCCCTGGCTCCCTCCCTGCGCGAGGCCGTGAGCTACCTCCTGCTGCGAGCCGTCACTCCCAACCTGGTGTTCTCCATCCTACTGGCTCAGGGCAGGCTGGTCAGTATCGTCCAGGAACGGGCCGTCCTGGAGGACACGAGGTTACACCCGGCCGACCTGCACCTCCTCTTCAACCTGCTGGCGGGCTCGTCGGCGCCCCCGCAGGCGGGAGAGCTCTGGACCCCGGTCTGCCTGCCCCGGCTTTACCCAGACAGCTACTTCTACGCCTACGTCTCGTACCTGGACCCGGCGCATGGTGTCTGCCTGCTGCTGCTCTCCACTGACCAGGCCGCCTTCTACAGCGTGGCGGCCTGCAAGAGGAGGATCGAGGAAGGCCTGAGGGCCCAGGGCTTGCTGGCCGCCATCCAGGCCGCGCTGAGGGTGGCCGGGGGTGCCGGGGCTTCCAGGCTGGGCCTCTCCGAGCTCCGGCACTTCATGTACAAGCCGCTGGATATCCCAGATAACCACAGGCAGCTCACCCAGTATACCAGGTAAACAACAGGCTCCCCC